ACTAACTGGTACAAGCAGCAATTGTGCAATCATGATTTCTCTAGTGAATTTAACACAATTCAGCCTGATTTGCCTTGTCAGAAACTTCAGAAGGCAAAGGTTAAGGTCTCAGCTATCACCTGGTCCTAAGCTTCCCTGACAGAAGGACTGGAGTCTATGATACTGAAGGGTCAAATATCACCAGAGAGGAACAATACTCTCACCATTCCTTTCTACTCTGTGCACCTCTGACTTCCAATACAAGACTCCTGTCATCTGCAGAAATACTCGGATGTATCGGCAGTCATTTGTTGTATCAGAGATGGACAAGAAGCTGAGTACAGGGAGCTTGTGGGCCATTTGTGGCAATATGTGGAAACAATCATCTGACCCTGAATGTAAATTCAACAAAGGAAATGAATGTATTTAAACACTATTACCCTCATGGGACATTAAGTGGAGGTGGTGGAGGAGTAGACATACCTCAGTATTCAGCTGGACTTCAGGCACAGAGAAGACTGTATTTCTTGTGGAGTTTTAGTTGTTTTTGAGTTTGCAGCAAGATGCTTGATATCTTTATAGGTCTGTTATGGTGAGTCTGACATCATCTGTTGTAATAGCAGCTTTAGATGGCCTGGAGAAATATAACAAGCTGATAGACGAGGCTTCTTCCAAGACAGATAACAATGGGTAGGGACAGTCGGGTTTTAAAAGCTCGATCAAAACTTAAAGGTATAGTGGAGGATGTTCTTTTTCTGGGTGGATCATCAAAATAAGTGTTCCTCCTTATTGTCAATCATTCTGGTGATATGTTTACATAAGGCCGTCCTACGTGCTCTTCCCCATTTTCACTTACAGTTGGTGAGTCTGACAGTGGAAAACTTGCAAATCTTCTTGTATGGGTGATTCAACGAGCCCATTTTTCCTCATGCACGCCCTGTTTAAAGGTTGCTGTTTGCATCGTACGCGTTTAATAGGTGTTCCCTCTCGGGTGCCGGCGCAGGGTTGTGCATGTGCATTTTTATTTAAAAGTAGACACGGTGGGTCTTTACATAAATTCTAAAACATTGTCCTCCCACATTGCTTTCTAAGCTGTTTTTCATTATTTGTAATTTTAAACTTAGTTTTGTGTCCTGCAAGTACTTTCTATTGGATTTCAGCCCAATTGCCAAAAACATTAAACACTGCTGGCTTGCTTAAGTCCAAATTTCTTCTTTAAAAAAATCAAAAACCCTACAATTATTTGGTGAAGAGAATCTTTTGAACAAATTTGAACATTTAAGATTGACTGCATACACGGTTGAACCTAGAATAACTCACTAACTTGTTTACTCCTTCTCTCTGCTTCCCCCGCAGGGAGCAACAATAAGACGTGACGATAATACAGGAGCCATCATTGTAGCTCGGATCATGAAAGGAGGAGCGGCCGACAGAAGTGGTCAGTTCCAGTTCCCGTTGCTTTTCCTTTTTGTTATTTACCCAGGTTTGTTTATCAGCAGTTTGGAGGTGTGAGAGTTCCTCATTCCGTGCGGCAAAGAAAGGCTGTGTTTAGGAATGATCTTTTTACTTTAATTTAAATCAATCTACTCTTTAAAACGGAACACAGATGCCATCGCTCTGCTGTTTATCCACATGTTTCCCATCTGTATGTCTTCACTGTGTCCAGCCTGTGTATCAGCTCTGCCAGAATCAAGCCAAAGGCAAATTTCCACATATGTCCTCAATAAAATGATGATTCCCCTCCAATCCCACTGATCACCGTCACTGTAAACATTCATCTGCTGTTCTGTACACAACCTGAGGCTCTGAACTTGCTGCTCTATCAGACAGGAGCTCCCTTGTGTTCGAAGATATGAGTAGTAGACCTTAGACTGATTATAGAGATGTAATCTTGCTGTTTTCATGTCAGGGCTAATTAATGCTGGAGATGAGCTGATAGAGGTCAACGGGATCCCTCTGGATGACAAGAAACCAGAAGAAATCATTCGTATCCTGGTATGATTCATATATTTTCATGTGTCTGGAGGTTTTTTCTTTGTTTCCACTTAATTTAAACCAAAAAAATCCCTTGATTGTGATAGCAAAAGTATTTTTAAAGCTTCCTAACGCTCCATATCACTACTGATAGTCGTTTCTCGGAGCCATTTCTAGCCTTTAGACCATGTGCATTGTGCTGCAGTCTTCTCGGAGGAAACTGATGCTGTGTAGTTCCTCCAAGCCGCCATTTCCACAGGCATGAAATGAGCTCCATTATGGAATTGAAGTTTTTTAGGGAAACATTTTTAAAAAAACAAAAGAGTCAGTTAAGCTCTATGCCCTCTAAGATTAAACCTTGAATGCGTTTCAAACACACTCACGCAAGGGATTGGTTTTACAAGACCTATGTTTAGCATGTGTAGTTTAGTTTTCCACCTACATTTAGATTCAAGAAATGAGAACAAAAGGTCTTTTAAGCCAAAATTGTGAAATTGTAAGTTTTTGTTTCCTGAAAACAGTTTTAGTTCCCTTGATATCCCATGTTTGCTGATGATACTGTGAGCTATAGCGAACGTCAGTTAAAAGACAATCCGGGGAGAAGTAATGATGTGAAGATATCCAAATGGAAAATCTAGAGAACGAGATCCAAATAAAGATTTATAAATAACCAGGAGATATTTCAAATGGTAAAGCTGTAGGGAGAAGAGATAATCAAGGTGAATGAGTTTAAGCATCATCAGTGTTGATGAAGAGAGAACAGTTCATGGTTATGTGAAAGTAGACAATTGTTAGCCGTAGATTATAATGAAAGGATAGCTGTAAGAGATAAATAAAAGGTGTATAAGATATAATTTAGACTAGTTATAAAGTTTGGAAATGGTAACAAAAAACTGAGAGACTTACTTTAATACAAATGAGTGTCAGGGACAGACGGATCATGGTAACTTCTTTAAAAAATTTAGAAATGGAAGGTATAGATAGCTATAGTATAAAAGGTATAGATAGATAGATATCAGATATGTTGAAGATAGAGGATTAAGATAGAGCTGCATCCAACAAGGATGTGATTTATCTGGTTGAGGTGATGATAAGGAGAATGACATTAACAGTTCACTGAACAGCTCACTGCAATGGTAGTTTCTAAACACCAAAGGGAAAATAAATAAAGATACATTTATGTTGTGTTTTGGTGGTTGGCAGCTTTCTTAAGTCTCTCTGGTTCTTCCATCTAGGCTCAGTCACAGGGGGCCATCACGTTTAAAGTAGTTCCTGCTGGGAGAGACGACGTACCCCTCAGAGAGCCAAAGGTCAGTCATTTATCATATCCAACCTGTAGCACTGTTGGCTAATTGGTGTTATGGTTTTGTGTGTTCTGTGTGCCTTCTTGGTTAGTGAGCAATTCATTGCTTTTTCTGAAAGTTCCCGGGGCGGGGGGAAATTGTGGGCCCCAGGGACTGGTTCTGTCAATGTTAGGGCCCAATCCTCGTCTAACTGGTATCAATGGGCATTGTTGGAATTTGAACTAACAATGTACTTATTTCCTTCTGCCTGAAGTCTGTGTTGGTATTCAACAGGAACTATGTTAACATCATCTTATATGATAGGGCTTATTTACCTGGAAGAAGCAAGGATGATGATGTGGCTGCGTCACCATGTTTCTAGCTGCAGACAATGAGTTGGTGTCAAATGGTACCATGTTTCAGTACCTAAAGGTATCATTGTGACACAGACAGAATGGAAGAGTGGGCTTGTTTCCAGTGCCGATCATGAAAAGATAATTTCTTGCAGAAGAGGTTGATGACATTAGAAGCTGCTGGCAAAATAACCAAAGCAAGCCTTGCTTATAGAGAGCCTTCAGGGGTTTGGCATCTTGAGTGTAAATGCAAGGCAGAATAAACTCACCGCAGTAGTTATGATGCAAAGTAAGTAAAAGCTAGTACCGTAATAGGAATGCCACTATTCTGAGGAAGCACCTGGTTATTCGTAATTTAGCTTTTGCATGAATAAGTTGTTGGCAGCACCTTGTCAGGTCTAAAACACTGTAAAACAAGGAAAGAAAGTTACAGAGTCAGAATTATTTTTACTCGCGAGGAGAGTAGGAAGAGACCGTGCAGGTACATCTCTACCCCACTCTGCCGGTCTTCAGCTTTCTCCTCGCTATTTATTAAAGCTAGAGGGGGAGTCCCTAGTTACACAAACTGAGGATGCGCTGCAGGAATAGGAAACAAGAAATACAATTCAATTTGCATTTAAATGTCTTGCGGTCAAATGGTCTGAGGACTTCCTGGTCTCGTTAAGCTTGAGCAATACTTCCTGAGAGTTGACCTATACTGCTTGTGCAACACCTCTCTGGAACAGTAATATGTCACACTTTATGCATCATAAGAACAAACATTAAGTATCTTATACATAATTATTCCAACACACCGACAGAATTTGATCAGGACATTGGTGTCCATCCCTACTCACTAGTCACCGCTGCAGAGGTCACTACCTTGCATAATCTTAAGCACCAGCTGCCATGCCCTGACTTGTGTAGATTGGTTTTTACCCTTCTTCTATAACAACTATAGGGCATCTGTTCGAAATGTGTTCAGGTATTTCTGCGAGCGCTCTTTGACTATGATCCAAGCAAAGACAATGCCATCCCTTGTAAAGAGGCTGGTCTGGGGTTCAAGAAAGGCTCTATCCTTCAAATAATGAGCCAAGGAGATGCAACATGGTGGCAAGCAAAGCATGAAGGGGATGCTAATCCACGGGCTGGTCTGATCCCATCCAAACAGTTCCAAGAGAGGTAAGAGCCATCTTTGACTTTGTCGTAATTTTGCGTTGCGGCGCTAAAAAAGATCAGACACAATGCAAGGCTCATGGCCCAAGAAGCAAAGATTTTCTGTTATCATTTAAAAATCTTTGAGGTGGACAAGAAAAGTGTACCCTTGGGATGTGATTGAGTACTAATAGTACAGACAGAAGTAAAGTTTGGACAATTTGACACATTATGGCTTCTGGTCATTGCAGATTTGCTTAGAGTGTTAAATATTTACCAACTGGTCAGGATAACTGATGTTTGCATCCCATTTTTTCCAGGAGATTCGCACTAAGGCAGCCTGCTGTGACACAGCCACTGCAGCGGACCCTGAGTAGGCGATCCTGTGAGTATTTGTGACCTTCTGGGTAACTAACAAGAACGTTAGGCTGGTTTGATAGGGGGCGGGTTAAAAAAAAAGATAAAGGTCTGAAAATGTTATTTCTTAAATGACCGTACCCTTAAAGCTGTGTATCTATAGCAACCATATAGCTATGTTGCTTCATCCTTTTTATCAGAGGAAGTTTTCTGCTCCGGTTTTCCTGGTTATTCGTGGCCAGACCTTCCCTACTCCTCTTTTCATGCGTTGATGCAGTTTAAGTCATTTGGGAACTTGAATAAAAGAAGAAGAAGGAATTTTCACATGAAAACGTGTGAGTTTTTGCATTGTTTATTTAAAACAGCAGATTAACAAGCTCAGATAAGACTTATGAGGGATATTTTATTGAAGTCTAGAACAGAAGGAGAAAACATTCAACACAGCAAAGCGGAGCTCATCAGGATGTTCAAGATTTACTTCAAGATGCTTAAACTTACCTCTGGTATCTAAGAGTTTATGCTGTCGATGTCAAGGGGGTCTTAGTTTGCTTACATCATTTGACATTGGATCTGCAACAATACAATATAAAGTATAATGTTGCAGTTAGACAAACATATTTTAAGAGGATCATCCATCTTCTAGGTCTGCTTCCAGCCTGCCTCTGATTTATGGATGTTTTCATTTCCTCCTTATGTTCAACCACACATTGGCATACATGCTGCTGGATGGCCAAAAACAGCCCACTGAAAGCTCTTAGGCAGACGCCGCTCTGCTGCTCCCTCACTCATTCCTCTCAGGAGTTCTGGGATTTCTGACCCTCTTCTTTGAGCTGCTGGAAAACATTTCTCTTACAGTCCAGCATGCTGCGAGCAGGAGTTGTGCTGCAGCAGTGAAAGGAAGTCCTCTGACATGACTGACATGGCCTTCAGTGGTTTCGAATGGATCAGCAGCAAATTATAACAAGTCTTTATGTTTGTGCTCAGTTGTTCTTTTTAAACAAATCTGTAGAAAATCCTCAGAGTTTTGAACAAAGAGCTGAGAACTAAAATTGAGTCAGAAAAATAAATTAAAGACTGTGGAGAGAAAGAGCAGAAGGATCTACAGAGCAGTAGATGGTGAGAGGAGCCATCAAAGGACCACATTCAGCAGCAGATGTGGGCCTGAATCTACAGAGAAATGGAAGGAGATAAAGCTTGGCTCTGGGCCCCGTTCAGGCCGTCCCAACTTGGCCCCGGGGCCATAAACTACAAGCTAGTTATAGGAAACCTTGGAGAGCCTGTAGTTACTGAACAGAGGACAGAGGTGGTGATTGAAGAGGGGTCTTTTCCTCTTTCTCTCCAACCCAGGAGCTCCGTCAGCTGGAACAATATTGGTGTTGGCGAGGGCTGCAGTGATCAACTGTTTACAGAGCATACATCTTGATCAAGTTAGCTTATCTTTCACTGCAGTAAAGCCAGCATTCACGTCTATCAGTAAAGGGTATATATCATCGTTTTGATTGTTCTTTATTTGAAATTTATATAAATAAGATGGTTTAGGCTTTTTAATTTATGTAGTGCATCTGGAAAATAATCATAGTTCTGCAGTTTTTTTCATGAGCCAGCACTGATTTCTTATTGAATTGAGGCCGAACCGTGTAAATTTTTTAAAATTGTTGTTCAAATTTGCCTCGCCAAACTTCATACATGTATTCTTTAAACCGCATTAATTAAGTACTAAAATACGCCTGATTTTATTAGTATGTTCCACATTAATTAGCTGTTTATTCAGCTCTCGGACGTGAAATCTGTTAGGTTTATTCAATGATGATTATAAAATTAATGTGTGCTTATAAAACATTTTTGCGAGGGGATGCTCCACTCCTGTCTCATGATTCAGTCAGGAGACCATCCTGCCTTGTCATTCTGATGGAGCATCCTGTCTTTATGAGCTGATCAATTGTTCTGTCAGAACAATACTCTGTTTGTAACCATGTGTCATGTTCTGTTAATAAAATGCTCTGCGGAGGAGGTCCAGGGGGAGACAGTGTGTTTGAGTCTGGGGTTCAACTGTCTCTCCTTTCTGCAGAAATAATTGTATCCATAATTGTGTATTTCAGTTCTTCCTTTTTTTAAAAAACCTACATTTTATGAACCCGACAAAATCCCCATCCTCTATGTAGCAAGAGGACACTGCAGGTGAGTCTCTATGAGACTCTACTGAGGTTTGAGCCTCTGTCTATTGAGGATAAAGTAGAGCCCTGATTGGATAACACGCCAAAATACGTCACTTCCAGTGAGGCTCAGCTTCTTAGGAGGTCTATGGAGCAGGAGCGGGTCATAAAGCTGGCTGTTTGATGCTGATTGGCAAACATACAGCAACATTTTTGACTGACGGGCCAGACAGGAGGAGATTTTCCTCATGAATCGAGAGGGGAAAATGGGTCATTTAGTCAGAACAGTCATTTTGTCCTGCACTCTTGCCATGTTTTATGGAGTTTATAGATATTTTTAACTGTGTTAGTGAAGTTTTTTAGATGCTTTAACATTTTTTAAATGGAATATTGGATGTATTGAGCCTCCCCTGTTCCAGAGAGCCACTGGTAATAGCATTCTTCCAAAGTATAGTTAATTAATTTATTTCCTGACAATTCAATACACATTTTGATTATGGCATAAATAATTCTTCTTTAAATTCTAGTTATTTCTCTTTATGGTTCATCTGTCTTTATTGAAGTATTTATTAATGTTTGAATTAACATTGTTTTCGGCTTTATAGTACTATTTTTATGTGGACATTTATGACTGTGTTAATATGTTTTCTTGATTTCTGATGCACCTGAAATTAAACGTTTTTCCTCCCTATCAAGCTGTAGTGGACGCTCCACAGGCATGTTCCACAGATTTTGTCTCTCTAGGTAATGGCTTAGTCACATGCTTTCTAGCAAAATAGATTAGTTAGATGTAGATTTAAAATGATTTGTAGTTTCTTTATTTAACAGCAGTGGGAAATAATATAGATTATTATTCGTAACCATGTTAGCTGTAAGCTTAGGGTAATTTAGATGGTATAAATTAGATATAATACCTGAATTTGAATCAAATGTGTTAAATAATAAATATTTTTAACTTCAAAGGGATAATAAGGGAAGTGTTCAGTGATAGATCCACTAATCTTACACTGCAAAAAATAAATCAATAATTACATTTTTTTTTGGAAATAATGTATTCTCCTCTTCTTGGAAACTGGTAAGTAAGACAATTTGCCAATTAAATAATTAGTTTACATTTAAATTAAGAGAAAAACATCAACTATATTATCATATTTTCAGCTGAATATTAAGTTATCTTATTTTAAGTCTTCCAATTGGCAGATTATCTTATTTACCTGCTTAACTTATGGGCAAATAGGCTAATTTTTAGAAAATGTTTCTATTTTTAGATCATTTTTTGCAGTGTATTTATCATACATCATGTTGTAATGAGTTTTAATAAAAGTTAGGAAATCTTTAGAGCGCTGGAAGGCTAGCAGCTAGTCCACCTTATAGTCCATTCCCTTATCTCCTATTTAAAACTTTTTTTAAACTTACTTGAACTGAAAATGTTCTCTCAAATTATATACATATATACCCAAATAATGGCTATACATGTATAGAAAGCTGTTATCAGGTTATGGCATTCTATATCTCCAAATTATTAAGAATATTTATTGCGAAAGTGTTGATAATCAATATTACCTAAAGGTCTTCCAGCGTTCTTAGGATTTCTTTGCTTCATGTCAATGTGAAAACATTCTCCTCCATTTAAGGGAAGTAATGCTGAACGTTAAATACACCAATTCAAACTCGGTTTATGGAATAACTTCTAAATAGGAGAGTTTTTGCTATTATTCATGTTGCCAATCTAACCATGAGCTTTATATCAGCAACTGCTACCACTGTAAGTTTATAATCTGCTCTTGCCTGTATTCATGAATTTATTCAATTTTGAAAATGTTGTCTAACATATATGAGAGGTTTGTGCATTTAACATCAGCTTTAACTCCAAAAACATTTTCATTAATTAATAAGTAATATAAGATAATGGAGGTGAAGGGATTCAGTGTGTAAATGTTTCACCACCACCATTCCTCTTCGTTCCTTTTCCAGCAGCCTTAGTCGTGATGAAAGTTAAATGGTCCTTCTTTTCTGTCCAAAAGGCAAAAAAAGTTGATGGTTCAACTAATTGATCACAACAGATTTTATTAGGACATGAAAAGTGTGGATTAGCTGCCTGTGGTGTGTTTGAAATAGGTTTGTAGTTAGCAGATCTGCTCGGGCCTGTGCATGCCAGTGACGTTGCGCTATATGATTGGCTGAACGTTGCCACAGGACGTAAAACATGGTTGCCGAGACGATAACGTAATACAGTCTCTGTGTGCTAAGTCGTGAGCATCTGTAGTGTTAATTTGTCTAAGTTTTACCTGATGGATAACAAAACGGAAAGAATATGTTTATGTTGAACAAAGTAATTGCAGGAACATGCTATAAAGGGGGAGAGCTGGGTAGCACTGTGGCTAGCTTGGTCAATTAGCCATATTAAGTTACACTATTTTGAACTTTCTGTCAACAACAACCATTAAGTAGAATAACTGGTTTTCTTTATCTAAAATCTCAACAAAAGTCATTTTTTAAGATGTTTCATTTGTCCTCCCCTGTTCTCAGATCTTAAGATCTTAGCACTGATTCTTTTTTTGCACATTGTTAAGTGCCAGGGCTCAGTTTGTCTTAGAATTCAGTACTTGACGTCAAGACTGAGAATTGTCTTCTACTTTCGGTTACTTTAGATCTCCAAGGACAGGTGAAATAATAGCAAAAATGGGTAATAATATGTTGAGACTCCAGATGAGATCTGATTCTTAAGAAACTGGAGCAAAACTGTTTTTCCGTGTGGCATTGCCATATGAAGACACCATAAGAAAGGGCCGGGCCCCGAGCAGATCTGGTACCTACACCAATGTTGCCAGTCAAGTCCTTCACAACTAAACCATAGTAGTTCATGTTTGCTAAT